TCTCTCTCTCTCTCTCTCTCTCTCTCTCTCTCTCTGACTTCCTGCCTCCTGCTCGCCTCCCTACAATAAAGATCTCCTGCCGGACCTCTCGGTGCATGAGTGGCCTAATTGGGAAGGGGCACCCGAAGGGGCACGCGACCCCACTTTCAATTGTCAGGATTGCGGCATGCCACTGTGTGCCGATGCGGATTTCCATTCTCACAGAGATGTGAGGGGACCCCAGAAAATCATCAGAAATTCTTTTAAGGCATCAATCCCAGCCTTCCGGTACTGCATTACACAGATGCCACCTGATCAGCTCCTTCTAATGTTGAACCTTTTCTTCTTAACTTTTGTCTTCTTCGGCTTTGACTCCTGGATTATTGTTCATAAATTGTCTCTAGGCAAAAAGCCAGGACTGCAGAAGTCATATGCTTATTTCATGAGTCTTGCAGAAGTTCTAAATAAAGGCTTTTCTTTTTAACCATTTTCACAAGGGTAAGAGAATAATTTTCTCTGTAACATCATAAAAAGTAAAATGGTGAAACAAAATCCCTAAGAATATGTTAGTGTGATTGACTTTGGCTTTCCTTAGAAACATTAAATATCAGCGAATACTTACAGTGTATTTGTGAATCTGGAGTAATCTCTTCTCAAAGAAGTGTCAGAAACAGTTTGTACCATGCCCAATATTTCCATGAAGACTTTGGGGAGGCTGCAGAATGTAAATCTTTTTAATTTTGCTCAGCCCCTATTGCTAAATCAAACCTCAATCTTTAGAGGACGGGAGCAGTCAACCTTCTACCTTCTGGTGTGAAATGGTCCTCACCGCTTATTGGCTTGGGGACACGTCTGGATCGATGAAAAAATTATTCCAAGGAATTAAGTAGTGATCTATTTTGGGAACAGATTCAGATAAGCTAACATAAAGGGTCAATAGAATAAATAATATTTTGTAAGCTGCCACTGTATAGTCCATTTCACTGAAAAACAATGCTTCTACTTAGAAAAAAAAAATATCTACTTGCATCGTTTTCAAGGGATTGAAGTTAGTGTACGCAAGTCTTCATTATGACCAGGATTCAGAATTTCCCCATCACAGCTTTAATAAATGAACAAATAAGAGGAGAAAGAAAGAAATAGAAAGAAGGGATGATAGGAAAAAGAGAGAAACAAAAGATGGAGGAAGGGAACGTGCAAGGCAGAGGAAAGAAAAGAAAGGAGAGGGAAGGAAGGGGAAGGAAGGGGAAAGAACAAAGTAGTAAGAGAAGTTTAAGAGCGGGACGCACGTTATAGCAGTGTAGACTGCACAACCCAACATTTAGATATGTTTTAACTTCACTTATTTAGAAGGGTTTCTTACTGCTAATAAAGTTCCTGAGGCGTGGGTGACTACGGTTGTTTTGTATGAGTTCTCTTACCACATGTACTTCGCTTATCTGAATTTGAAAGAATATTCTATTCTACTACTTGAGTTTGAAAGAATATTCTGTTCTACTACTGCAGAACTAAAATATGTCCTTACAGAGCTTCTTCCCATAACACACATGCCATTAAATACGGCGATGACACATGTTAGATTATCCTGTGTTGTAGGCCAGGCACAGATATCTTCACAACGTTATTACTTGAATGAATAAAGACAATTCTCCTCATCTGTCGAAAACATTGCACAGTACTGAAATTCTAATTAAGTGTTCAAGAATCTTAACAGAGCTACAGTGGAAAAAGCAGACCAAATATTCCTTCCGTCTGGGACAGCTGTGACGCCAGACAGCACAGCAGAAAACAAAGTACCAAACGGTGCTCAAAACTGTGTGGGAATTGTTGTACAGAATCTTAAATTTGAGAAATTTATTCATTTTGCTCATGCGAGTACATCTAGTCCATCAAGACCCCTCCCCTCACTCAGTAGGAGATATACTGTACCAGTTGGTAGTATATTCTTGCAAGGAAAGCGTGGATCTGCAGTCTGTATGTTTTACAAAGTTCTCCACTCTCCATCACGCTGACCACCTTAAGTCTATTTTCCACAACTACGGAGGCAAAAGACAGAAAATTCATGATGCAGGTGAGATCGTTTCTGAGTGGTTGGGGTGGGAAGTGTGCATAGCTCAGGACTGGAGCCCTTCCTGGCGTGCTCTGCCCCTGGGATCCATCCCTACCACTGGGACAAGAGAGTCTGTGAGTGGTTAGTCTCAGATGGCTGGCAAGGGTCCGAGGAACAAATACTAATCTGTGAACCTACGTCCAGTGCGGGCGTTTCAAAGGTCCGCTCTCACACTCAGCAGAAAGAGTACAGTTCCGAGGCTTGGAGTCAGAAAACCCCATCTGAAAGTGAAGGAGCTCTTAGGGTGTGGTGTTCAGGTGCAGGGAACGTAAGGAGACTCTAAGTGTGCAGCTTTCAAACAGAATGCATCTTTCCTCATGGACTTGCTGCTGTATTATTAAAGGGCACACGAGGAACCTACACAGATTCAACGTCTGCGGTGCGGGGATCATTTCAGAAACCAGCAGCATTGCTGATTTGTGCACAAGTTATTTTGTGAAATTACTTATAGAAATATAATAAACTTAGGTTTGCTTTGATGCTGTTTTATCTTTTTAAGCAATTATGTTAATGCTAGTACATGTCATTTTTAGTGGATAAAAGGAAAACTGCTTTATAAAAGTTCAGCTTTTTACAAATTCATTAAACATAGCATCAAGGAAAATCTAATCTATAAAAAAAAGAAAAAGAAAAATCCAATCTCTGAATCAAACTTAACATAATAGTACTGAGTTAATTAAGTGAATTCTTAATATTTTACCACTTCTCTTCTCAGAACAAAAGCTTGAAAAACAAACTCCTATCGGGAAGCAAGCTCTGTGGGATTCATGCAGAAGAGGTGAGTACATTTTCTTTTCAACCTCTGGCTGAAGAACACAGCACCCATCCCACAGTGGATTTTAATCTTTCAGTCTAGACATCTAGTACATTATTTTCTAAAACAAATGCACAATTTAGAGAAAGGCTATAACACATATTTTACATGTTTGGATGTATATGGATGCTTTAACATTTTCTAAAAGAAAAAAAAAATCAGTCCCTTAAGGGTCACTTTGATGATGCGTTATTTGGGACTAAATTCCCATTTTAACCGTACAGGGACACTTCAGTTCACTGGTGCTTCTCTTTGGTGATAATCCGGTCCTGAAAAGAAGCATTCGGCAGAATTTTGCCTGCTTTACTGAACTCCACGTAGGGTGACGCTCAAACTTTTGTGGGAATTTGATTCAGTTCGGGGCCAAAATCTTGGAACAATTTAATGTTGTGAACCGAGATGCCCCCGCGTTTTCAGTTTCCTCGGTGTGAGTCCCATCACCTTACCCTTTGCGTCGTTACTGCACTGTCTGTGTCCTTTCATACTGACTGGTTCATATTCGTATTGTCATATTGAATGAAAATTTGAGGATTGATTTTGCAGTTCATGAAACAGAATCATTGGTTTTATTTGCTGTGCACAAAATTTGTCTCTTGCAGTTTTCAGGGAGGAAAAACATCATTCCAGTTAATAAACATTTAACTAAAAGCCAGTCTCCTATATTCCTCGCCTTGGAATCAATCTCCAGAATTGTGCTTGTCCAAGACACGTAGGTCATACTGAGTAATGCTTACTGATAGAAATGAAATAGCAGTGACAGCGTCAAAAGTCCGTTTTCTATTCCTCAAAAGAAAGGAGACAAGAGCCCGTGTGTTAACTGGCTTCTCCAAGAAGCCGAAAGAGATGGGTAAGACCTGTGTGAAATTTATTCCAGTAAAAGCCAGGATGGAAGAGGAGCGGGCACGAGAAACTCACTTTGTGATAAAGACTGCACATCTCGAGGGAAGTGGGAGAGGAGAGAGGAGAGAAGAGGCCAGGCAGCAGTAGACACACAGAAGGGCTTGCTGCCGTTTGACATTTGGCCCCTTTCCCTTCCCATACTGGAAGGGAAGTGCAGCCCGGAGTTTGAAGACAGAGCTGTGGCTTGAATTCCCCACCACGCCTCTCCAAAACCCTCTTCCCTGTCACCTCGCCCTTCTGTAAGCGTGAAAGACCAGGGGACACAGAGAGCACAAGCATTGCTCTTTACTTCTCCAAGGAGGAAGTAGTATCATCCACTTCCTTCGGCCAGAACTAACTAGGCCACAAGGTCAGCCAAGGTCAGCCAAGGAGGCCAAAAAATATTACCACAGTCTTACAGTGGCAGTCAAAGGCTGAGCCCAGGCTTGAATTTCTTCTTCTTCTTTCTTCTTATTTTTTTGTTTTGTTTTTGTTTTTGTTTTTTGGTTTTTTTTGTTTGTGTTTTGGTACTGGGGATCGAACTTGGTGCTTTGTGCTTGTGAGGCAAGCGACAGAACCTCTGAGCTAAATCCCCGGCCCTTGAATAGAAAATTTTAATATATAGGGACTAAATGTTGATTCTCCAGAGATGAAAAATTAGACTTACTGGTTTGTAGATTTGATTGAGCAGAGCTTCATTTCATTTCCTTGCACTTTTGCGTTTGGACAGAAATAGACTTGACATTGCTTATATTTACTAAGGTCCTAGAAATAGAACAAATGTATTCTGTGAAGGTTCTGAATCTGACTTGCAATGAAGAAAGCAAGCGCAGTGATGTTTTGAATAAGCACTATCTGGTCAGAAACTGTATTCTGAGATAGGCATCTCCCCAGGATTGATTCGGCTTAAGAAAGGGGAGCTCTTTTGGGTTAAAATATTTGTAATGTTTAGGAAAAAATAGGGCCAATCTTTGTTATGTAGGCTCTTAGTTCAAGGTTGAGTTCTATTTTGTCTTTATCTCAATACCTCAGAAAACATATTATTTCAAAATTATGTGTGCATTTTTTACACTTCATGTTACCATTGTCTGATGTTTGAAATGTAATGGGTTCCTAACAGTGTATTCATTTACCTTATCATATTAATAATTCATGCAGTGAAGGTCCATCTTACCATATTGAGTAGTGGGGTAGGGATATATTCAGTCTGTATAAGAATATTTCAATATATTATGCTGGTAAATGGAATCATTTGATTCATCTCAATACCAAAAGCAAAACATTCATGTTTTCCTCTAGCAGAGATGATGAAAGGGAGCTTGTCTTCTAGATAGGTAAACATAAACTTTAGGATTCATACATAAGTAAATATGTTTTAATTTGCCACATCAGAATATTAACAAGGTGGCCCAGGATTTAACTCAGTGGTGCCACCACCTGCCTCGCAAGCACAGTGTCTCCAGTTCAATCCCGAGTACCAGAAACAGAAAAGAATATTAACAAGGGCAGCTATTACAAACAACATCCATCATCATCCTCACTACTAATTCACAGAAGAAATGGTATTTGAAGGTACAATTGTAGCAGATCATCTCAGATGGAACCTCAGAACGATGGGTTCCAGGCAGCCCAGCTAAACGATCTGTCATGAATGGCTCTTTCTTCATAGTCCTTATCTTCTCACAACCATGGTCACCATGACTTCCAACTTTCCTTTTGCAGTGGACTTGCAAAGCCTTCATGGCTTACTTGCACCAACATTTACAACTTTACTTAAAATTATTATATAGCAAAAATATTACTGAGATTCCAAATATAGCAATACCTCGAGAGTTTGAAAATTATCCATTGGATGACATCAGCTTTCAAAATGTTGCTCCCGAGCTCATAGTCAACATGGCAAATGTTTTTCAAAGCAATGAACATCACAACAGTGATCTCAGTCAGAAACTGTTGATACTTTTTGTCATTTTTCATCATATTCCTAGAACAGATTTTGCTCTTTAACTCACTGAAAATTAGACGAGCGTAGGAATATGTTATATAGAAGACACAGCAGACTGTAAGGACAACTTCAAAACGTTATTTTTACACCATCCTGACAAAACTCAAGAGATCCACCATCTCTCAAATCATAGCCACTAAATGCAGAAAACAATAAAAAAACTAAACATTTTGGTGTTATTTTCATTCCCAAATGAATCACTGCATGAGATTATAATCAATGTTTAACAATGACTACAAGTTAAGGAAAACAGAAAACCTTTAAATTATATTCTGTGCCTTCAGTGTAAATATGTGTATCCTAAATGATTAAAATTGATCATTTCTGACACCAGAAACAGTAATAAAGCTGCGAAAGATGGCGAGTGGTAAAGAGGGAATTATGCACAGCCCCAGAAGCAATAATCGCTATTCCTCCTATTTCCTGTCATTACTGGTTGAAAAAACAAGTTAATCATTTTTATGAAAGATAGCAGGCCTGGCTGTGAGTGAATCCTGGACACCAGGCATTAAAAGAAAGAATAAAAGGCCAATTTACTTCTTATTCAAACTTCTGAAAGATAGCAGAATCCACCCTTGCTGACATGAGTAGCATAAAATGATAATGGTACGCAAATTGGAATTACCTTAGAAAGTTAACAAGAGACACCCGGTTTGAGTATGAAATAGCCTAGCTGTGGGTCACTTGGGAAACAAGGAAGATGAAAAGGTTGTAATAAATGTTAATTTGGAAATCAACAATAGAAATTTCAAGGAGCTCAGTGCTTCAGTGAGATTTCATTCTTAAGAGCCTTTAGCAATCATAATTAGACAATGGTGGCTTTTATGCTTTCTTAAGTATGAATTATTTTGCATCACTAACCCTAGCAAGAAAAAGAGAATGACTTTTTATGTACATGAGTTATTTTGTAGAAGAACAAAAATTTGTGTTGCTTTTGTGTTTAGAATTTAATTGTAATACAGAATTGTTTATAAAATTTGAACTCCTTCCTTTCTTTCCTCTTTCTCTTTCTCCTCCCTGCTTTCTCCCTTTTCCTTTATTCTTTCTGTATTTCCTTTGACTTTCTCTTCATTTTGTTTTCTTTTTTTAATCTACCTAATGATTTTTTAATTAAATATATCAGAAAATATAGGGGATAGATACTAAATAGAGATCCTTATAAAAATGTGTTTCCAATATTAGAAACTAGTCTTGATGCGTGGTTCCTTACATTCTCATTTCTACTGTAAGCACTGCTTCTTGCAGTTTTGGGTAACAATTTAAAAATTACCACAGTTTCCTTACACAGCCTCCCATTTGGCATGACAGAAAAGGTTCAAGGAAGTTCAATCCAGTACATCTGAAAGTTCTCCAGTGGAAGACACACGTACACACTATGTATGTGTGCTTAGAAAATTTACTTCAATAATCTGGGATTCCTTCTTTAATACACATAATTTCCTGTGTTTATTAGCTTCCATGTCCCGATACCTTTACAATTGAATTTTATTGAAATATACCCTAGTATAATGCACTTCATCTCCTTTAAATATATAGCTTAGTGGGTATACAACATGCACACATTCAAGATGCAGAAGATTTCTACAATCTAAATAATTTCTTTGGCTGTTCTACAGTAGTCTTGACCTCCCCAGCCATGGTATCTGCCTCTGTTATGGTATGTGACCTCCTTAGGGTAGCACATGAATGGAATTTTACAAAACGCAGCTAATTTTTCCAAACATCCTGGTGAAATCCACTTGTGTTCTCACATGGCTCTGTACTTTATTTTTCTTTTGGAACTGCTCTGCACTATTTCAGATTTCACTTCACGAGTGCACTACAATTTGCTTAAGCACCATTTAATGGACCATTGGGTGATTTCCAGCTTTTAGCTATTTTGAATAACGATGCTATCAACATGTTTGTGTACAATGTAATTTATCTTAGTTAAACACCTTGGAAAGATTGCAGTGCACCACTTATGTTTAACTGCTTAAGAAAGTGTCGAACTGTTTTCTAAAGTGATTGAACCATTGTACATTTGCACTTAAATTTTTCCAATTTATGTGTCAACAAAAAAATAGGTACTTTGCACCTACTTTGTGCTAGATACTAAGGAGACAATCATTATTAACAACAAAAATGTCTCCCGAAAAATACGGACTGCTTCGCAGATTTTCAGGACATCTTGGTGTGCAGGGGCTGCTCTGGTCTTCTCTGTATTGTTCTGATTTTATTGTGTGTTCTACAGAAGTAAGCACCCACTATAACTCACTTGCTATTCCTTCAGAATTTGTGTGTGTTTGTGTGTGCCTGTGTTGTGTGTTTCTCCTGGATAAAGGTACAGGACATTTAGTCTTACATGTACAAGTAGCATAATTCACTGAACTGATGTCCTCATGCTAGAAAGCTATTAATCAAGTTATGTCCTGCTAATTCGGGAGCCCACACCCCTGGCCTGTGGCTGTAGATAGCATGACTCATTGTGGTAGTCACATACAGCTGCTGCACAGACTTCTTTGTAAAGCACTTTTTTTTTTCAAATGGCAGTGACATAATTAAAAAGCACATCATAATACCTCCAGGAGTAAATATCCATAATACGTAGGAAGTGCCTCAGCAAACTGCAATGTCCTAATATCCTTAACAAGTGCGTTCTTCTAATATGAAGGCACCATTCACTTCACAATTGCAGCACATTACACATCCTATTTTATTTGTTTCTTGCCTTCCTTGTTGGACATCAGATGGATCAAATTTGGCCATCAATTTAATATATATGTATTTATTTATTGATCAATGTTTTAATTTAAAAATTAAAAATTAAATATAACCAGTGACATTTGAGGCATACACACCCACCGATATTTCTGATGTCTAAAATTAAGCTCTAGGTCATGTCTGGAGACAGGAAAGTTGTGTGTTTCAATTATAGTAGGGGAAGGACAAAAAGCAAATTCCTCTAAATAATACATTTAGAAATGCGATATTGAAACAGTCTGGTTTTTCTCATTCTCTGCCAAATAGTTGGATATCTCACGTACAAGTCAATGTTTAAGATTTTCTGATTTATTTCCAAACTAGTTGGATTCTGTTTTCTAGGCTGCAAATTTATTCTGGTGCATGCTGAAAAATTTTAATCTTCAAGTTTGAAAATACAAGTGAATTTAGGCACTAATCCATGTTTCTGCTTTTACAGTCGAGAAAAATTCAAGCCCAGCTGAAGGAACTTCGTTATGGGAAGAAGGATTTATTATTTAAGGTGAACACTTTTCTCTATTTCCATTCCAACTTGCTAGCATAGCACCTAAGCTATCAAAAATATTATTTAGCTTAAATTAAATTTCCAGACTTGGCCAAGCATTAACTTGCCATTAACTATATAGTGAACCTAATTCCATTTTGTTGCCTACTTATAAAGTGAAATATAATTATGATTTCCTAGATACCTTTCTTACCAGACGCAGGCATTCTCACAAAGTGTTTAGTTCCTTTTGTAACCACAATTACTTTCATTCAGTACTCAGGAATATTATCTTTTAGCAGAACAACCTAAAGCAGAGCACATATGAAGGACATTTCTAGAGGGAGGGCTCACTGGCAATCTATAGTACTGCATTTCAGAGATCTTTGAAGAGTGATTCAATAGTATAATGAGTATTGATTGATTTGGGGTTACTGATATTTTCTGGTACAATACTATTCATCAAAACCTCCAAATAACTAGCAACCCGATCCAACTCTACATGTGCTAGAATGATCAATCCCCAAAGATATGTATTCCTAATTTCTAGAACCTGTGAATATTATCTTACATGAGAAAAGAAACTGCAGATGTATGTAGTTAAAGATCTCACGATGAGAAGATTCTTATCCAGGTGGGTACTCGTTTCCCTGTATGATTATTCACGAGTGAATTAAGAAGGTGAGGCAACGTCTACATGGCCAAAGAAGCAGCAGATGGAAAGAGAACAGAAACGATTCTCCTCATGTCTCCACAAAGATGCAGACATGCCGACCTGGGGTTCTAGTCCTGTAAAATTCACTTCAGGCTTCTGGTGTTGGAGACAGTAAGAGAATAAAGTCATGTTGATTTAAGCCGCCAAGGTTGTAGTAATTTTTTATCTCAGAAAGAAAAATAAATAATAATACAGATAGTTTCTGCTGGCCTAGTTGACAGGAAAGATAAAAGACAGTTGATAATAACTTTTGTACATCTCGTTTATTCCACTTGCCAAATCCAGTAGAGGGAAAGGCCCTTTGATGGAGGAATAATATGTTTTCATTAAAATACATTTACATTGCCTTACATGTAATGTTTACTTTTCACATACTTAGTACAATGATCATCTCAAATTGCAGAAGTGTACATTTAAGCGAAGAGGAATAACTACCATTTTATTTAATAGTTGAGAAATTTAACAATTTCTCTAATGAGAAAAGTAAGAAATGACTTCTTACTTTGAGTCTTAGAAGTCAGAAGAAAATCTTCCTATGATGTCAACCAATATTTATTAAACACCTGTTCCATGCAAGAAATGAGTCCGGGAACGTCTTGTCATTCGCTGTTCCAAAAGTATGCTTCCTGACATTTAAAAAAGTGTATTTATAACAAGATCTTTCCCACCAACACAAGCAAATTATAAATTAATTCTCACTTATGCTTAAAAACCACATATTTTAGCACTCCACCATTGTATGTGATAAACAAATAAAAGTATTAAAAGTAAGGCTTTCACTCTGTACTTTTATTCTTTCCTGCTGAGATTCTGGCCCTCAAACATCTTAACTTTTTATTCAACTTGGCTTTAGCTTTCTGTGGTCATCAATAATAAATAGTTGAAATTAGCAACAATGACCCAAATGTGTGTGTTGTTATTTCCAACAATACTTTTAGTTCCTGCAAATTCCTTTCATTTAATGAAGTCAAGAGAGTTATAAAATAAATTCTGTTTCCTTGTCATTCCTGAGCTGTAGTTGCTAATCTTACACAAAGATAGATGATCATATGAGGCTTTTTGTATCTTTTGAATTATATTTCTCCAAGAGTTTTAGAAAAAGAATATTGGGGAAATAGATGATTTGATGATGCTAAAAATTTATTTTTGTAACATACCAGCTGAATATAGATTTATCATTTATCAACTTTCAGTAATTATTTAAGTCAAAATCTGTTGCTAATCTCATGGACTTGAAAAATGATGGGGCGGGGGCACTGTGTGTCCAGACTTTTCTTGTTTTTTGCTGGCACATCGCTTCCTGTTGAGCTTAGGGTCAGCCCCTTTGGAATGCAAACCTTATGATCTAGTGTCAGTCAAAGTAAGTCATGGCATTTCTTCACGGCCAGCTCCTTTCCGGAGAAGCAGAGAAGGGCAGGGTGTTCTCTGTCTGTCTGTGGGGAGGAGAGCGTCTGGGCTCTGTTACTCATTGTGTAGAGGAGAACAGAGCAGAAACACATCAGAGAGAAACTTCTGAGTCTCTTCAGTGTCTTTCAGTGTGAAGTTCTCACCATGGTACTGCCGTAAAGTTTTGTGAGCTTCCGTGGTTTTGAGACTTTAGACAGTACTGTGATGTGTATTACTCTGTCTGATTCTCAACACAGCCCTATGAGTCAGAGCGGAATTCATCCATGGGGTGACATGTATTTCCTAAGGAAAAAAACTGAGAATTTTGGTCCTTTCTCCTAACCACCAACAGATCTACTTGCAAAGCAAATTTATTAGCAGAAGCCATCAGCATGTAGTACCTATATTTTATAAAATAGACTTGTTAGACTTTTTCGGGTTTAACATAAAATGCATTCATCGGAGTTTTTACTTTTTCCTGAGATAGTTATCCTTATGGCTTATGTTTATGCCAGTGTATCAAAATATACATTTGTGCATTATTATTTAATCTATGGTGATTCCATGGCCCATTTTTGGAAGCTTAGACATCAAAGTGTCTTGTCATCATTGATATCTCCTCTAGACACCGTGTGGAGTTGATTTTCTATCCACAACGTCATGTTTCCAAAAACCAGGATGCTGTACCTGAATCTCATGTGTGGATACCAGTGAATGTCAGCATGTTTCCTGATGACTTGAGTAGGTTATGAGGAAATTTTATAAAGCTATCGTGCCTTGATTTTTAAGCTCTTGTGTGATAGAAGAGATTTTTTTGTATGTCTCATTAATTTGTACCTTTTTCATCCATATGTTAAATCGGGGTTTTAACAAGCAAAGGAAATGTAAAAGTCATTCTTTATTCATCAGTCCATCCTCAGCTAAGAGAAATGTGACATCCACATGAGGGCACTTGGCATGGCAAGTTTACATGGCTGGCAGATTTTATTTTCATACGTGACATCAGAAGTTTTAAGATATTCAGAACACATGCATTTGTGCCTCAAAAGTCTGTGGTGGTGGTGCAGACAATACTGTTTCCTTTTCATGGATCCAAATACCAAGGTTCACATAAGCTTCAAGAGTCTCAGAGATTGTGGGGGTTGTATGTGTCAGAGTTCTGTATCGCCTAATTCCTTTGATCATGATAAAGTAATTTAGTATATTTTTTTGCAAGTTCCATTAAGAGGACTTATACATTGTCTTAGAAATGTTTCAATGCACTAAAAGATATAAAGTCCAAAAATGCATATCTAGAAATAGGTTTGATGTCATGAAAGAAAATCCCCTTCGTAACTAAAACTAAAAAAAATGTATTTTCAGTATGAAAATATGATGATTTTTAAAATTTAGAATGGAGCTCACACCTGTAATTCCAGCACTCGGGAGGCTGAGGCAGGAGGATCGCTGTGAGTTTGAGACCAGCCTGGGCTACATAATGAGTTCCAGGGCAGCCTCAACTACATAATGAGACCCTGTCTCAAAAGAACCAAAAAAAAAAAAATTATATATATTAGAATGGATAGTTACTTAGAACCCAAGTTTCTTTTCCTAGGTTATATTCTTGTGACTTATTTAACCTAGTCACTTTACACAATGGTTGGTAGGATTGTTCTGTAGGTAAATAAAATAAAAATGAAAAAAAGAAAGTTCATTGCCAATTCAAGTCAAGTTTTCAGTCCTGTTTCTTCCTTGCTTAAAACACAATTTGGAAATTGATCTCACTTATTCACTAATAACGAAGTACATGCACCATTTCTTTAAAACACCATGTTTTAATATTAGAATTTATAACAAATTAAAATGTAATGAACACACTTGCCTAAAAATGTGATTCTATAAATAGTGAAAATCACTAAACATACAGGATTTTTTCCCCTCAATGTTGGTGTTTAATTAGAAACACCATCCTATGCTCATCAGAAAAGTACTGAGCTCCATCCCTACTGCGTTTTATTTTTGTAATTAAGAAAGAGTCTCACTGCATTGCCCAGTTTCGCCTCCACCTCTCAGTCCTCCCATCTCAGCCTCCCTAAGCAGCCATGATTGCCAGTAGACGCCACAGTCCCCAGAGGTAAGAGACTTTGGAAGGGAATTTGAGCAAGGAAACCAAGCCCAGACTGAAAGTGACTTATCTGTAATTATGCAGTGCCTGTCTAAGTCTCCTGACTTCAAGTTTGTTGGTTTGTTTGTTCAGAAGCAATTTGCTGTTCATTTATTATATACTAGATATTGAGTAATATCTTCTACTTGACCACAACTTCTTCCTGCTTTGGTGCGGGGCTGGGAGTAATTTCAGGAAAAGGTTAACTTCATCATTTTCATAAGGTTTACATATGGCATTTTTATTGAAGAGGAGTTTATCAAATTAATCAGGTTATTAAATGATTTGTATGGCTCCCAACCTTTAGGAATTACTGCTTTACATATTGATGATTATTGTCATTCTGTGTACTTCTGGGTGACAAAAAAGTGGAGTTTCTCTAAATGTCACTGGCCATAAATCATTCTTGCTCCAAATTGCTGTCTTTCTCTTTCTTACTCTGTTTGTTTATTTGAAATCTAAGGTAGGTCTATAGTTGCCAAGCTTTTGATTAAATTAATATTTGTAGCTTTAAATAAATTTTGTAAATTTTATATTTTATTAAATATTTCAACAAAACTTAAAGTATATTTACTTTACATTTTCAGAAGCTTGAAATGCATGACATATCACAAAAAATACATTAGAGAAGTATGCACAGGCACGTGCATACATTTAAAAGAATTAATATATGTGTGCAACCCCAGGGTCTACCCTGTTGCTGTTCCAGTCTTCACTGTTCTACTAGTGCAGCTCAAAGAGTTTGTATGTGTTCACAAAGACTTCATAGAGAAA